CATACATGCATACACACACACACACACACATACGCACATACACACATACACACATACATACATACATACATACATACATACATACATACATACATGCATGCATGCATGCATGCATGCATACATACATACATACATACATACATACATACATACATACATACATACACACACACACACACAGCTGCCTGTAACAAAGTAAACTAACCCTGATACTCATTGTTTTCAAATTTTATTACCATATAAGTCATATTTTTATTCATATGTATAAGTAGTCACTTTATTTTTTTAAGTTTCAATATACTAATATTTAAAGTAAATTCGCATATATTTGATACATGAAACTATAATTGAAAAGTGAATTGTTTAGTTAATGAAAGTTAAACTCAGACTACTAATTTAGAGATAGAAGTAATTACAAACACGCGCGAACAAATTCCTACCATCTAATTCATTGACCAAAATCGAATTTAATCGAAACCTGCCTTCAATTTACTCTGCTATTTGTTTCCTCCAGAAATTAATTTGAGATTCTGAAACCGCTAATTCAACTTATAGACGTTTACTGCTACCGATTTCGCCCAATCCCAATTGATTAAGTAAACTGGTTGAGTTTAATTTGATCTAGATTTAGTAAAATTGAGTGAATCGAGGTGCACGTGTGAAATTCTTGTTTGGATAAGCATTAGGTTACCTCATTTAATCGAAGCCCGCCTTCAATTTACTCTGCTATCTGTCCCCCTGCCAGAAATTAATTTGAGATTATGAAACCGTCAATCCAACCTTATTGACGTCTACTGCTACCAATTTCGCCCAATCCCAATTAATTAAGTAAACCGGTTGAGTTTAATTTGGTCTAGATTTAGTAAAAGTTGAGTGTATCCAGGTGCACGTGTGAAATTCTTGTTTGAATAAGCATTAGGTTACCTCATTTAATCGAAGTTTGCCTTCAATTTACTCTATTATCTGTCCATGTTAGAAATTAATTTGAGATTTTGAAACTGCTAATCCAACTCTATAGACATTTACTGCTACCAATTTCGCCCAATTCGAATTGATTAAGTAAACCGGTTTAGTTTAATTTCATCTAGATTTAGTAAAAAATGAGTGAATCGAGGTGCACGTGTGAAATTCTTGTTGAATTGGATAAGCATTAGGTTACCTCATTTAATTGAAGCCCGCCTTCAATTTACTCTGCTATCTGTCCCGTCCAAAAATTAATTTGAGATTTTGAAACCGCTAATTCAACTTTAGAGACGTTTACTGGTACCAATTTCGCCCAATCCCAATTAATTACGTAAACCCGTTGAGTTTAATTTAATCTGGATTTAGTAAAAATCTAGTGAATCGAGGTTCACATGTGAAATTCTTGTTTGGATAAGCATTAGGTTACCTCATTTAATCGAAGCCTGCCTTCAATTTGCTCTGTTATCTGTCCCAGTCAGAAATTAATTTGAGATTATGAAACCACTAATCCAACTTTATAGGAGTTTACTGCTACCAATTTCGCTCAATCCCTATTGATTAAGTAAACCAGTTGAGTTTAATTTGATTTAGATTTAGTAACAATTCAGTGAACCGAGGTGTACATGTGAAATTCTTGTTTGGACAAGCATTAGGTTACCTCATTTAATCGAAGCTCGCCTTCAATTTATTCTGCTATCTGTCCCTGCCTGAAATTAATTTGAGATTCTGAAACCGCTAATCCAACTATAGAGACGTTTACTGCTACCAATTTCACCCAATTCCGATTGATCAGGTAAATCTGTTGAGTTTAATTTGATCTAGATTTAATAATAATTTAGTGAATCAAGGTGCACATGTGAAATTCTTGTTTGGATAAGCATTAGGTTACCTCAAGTAAATGAGGTTTATTGGAATGAAGGGTAACCTATATTGGAATGTAGGGTAACCTATATTGGAATGTAGGGTAACATATATGATGATGTTAAGTTTACTTGTAAAGAGAATTTAGCTCCCAAAATCTCCAATATTTACCCTACACCTTTATGTTCAACTATTGCACTTTCAAGTTCAATATTTTTTTATATCGTGGTGGCAAAAAATCACTTGTATACAAAATTGATGTTTTTCCTAAAATATTACTAATGGAAAATTGATGGACAAAAAATGTGACTATAAGTTACTTTGAGTAAGTTTTATAGTCACTACAATGGAACTTTTGAATACCATTATACTCCCTCCGTCCCACAATGAACTTCTCACTTTCCTTTTTTTGATGTCCCAGAAAAAAGTTCTCATTTCCTTAAATGACAAGTTAATCTACATCAAAACAGTATCTAACAATGCAAAACAGTGTCAAACAGTGTCGAAACAGTGCAAAACAGTGTCAAACAGTGTCGAAACAGTGTCAAAACAGTAAAATTTACCCCATGGTAAGTTTATTTCCTTAATATGTGTGTAGGTCAAACTGTGAAGTTCATTTTGGGACGGAGGGAGTACTCACTAAAGTTACTCGGGGTACTTTTTTATCCTCTACTTTTGATAAAATTATATATTTTGAATTATTTTAAGAAAATCACTACCACTTTTTTTTAAAAAAAGTGAAGTTTTTAACCATGACAAAGCGTAGCAGTAGAACATATAGGACCCGAATGATGAAAACCTATCAATTTAGGACCTGAATGATTGAAAACTATTAATCTAGGACCTAAGCTGTCATAATTTTTTTATTAAAAAATTTTAAATATTATTTCGTTTTATTAAACTAATAAACTTTTGTGAAGAAAAGTTTATCAAAAATTAGTAATGGAATTAATAAAAAATTAAATAAATCAAAACCTATGAAACGTTAGGTTCTAAATTGATAGTTTTCCATCATTCGGGTCCTATACCGATACATTTCATCATTCGGATCCTGAATTGATAATTAATCTATCTTTCAGGTCCTGAATTGATAAAAATCCTAAAATAAAACTTATTTACACAAATATGATCAATAGTTACTAAAATGTAGTATCATGGTAACTTAAATTTAATAATTGAACATAAATTACTATGATTTCATTACTATTTTAGTCACTAGTCACAATTTTGTAAATCATCTTTATTTTAGTCATATTTATGTAACAATTTCTTCACATTTCACATGCCAAACACTTTTTTCGTTTAATCAAATTATACACACAGACACACGTAAATTGTATACTTTCTCCGTTCTTTTTTAATTGCAAAAATCCACTTTTCACGTTCGTCAACGCACCAGTTAGACCATATTTAAAATTAAAAAAATAATAAATAAAAATTATGATTTTGAAAATTAAAATGAGAGGAAGTTAACAACATTTTTCAAAAATTTAACTTATAATGCATTAATAAATTATTCAATGTTGCAATTAAAAATTTACTAACAAAAATTATGATAGTAAACCAAATGAATTTTAAAGGAGTAGTCTGGTTCTATTAAAAAATTGTGTTCATGTGAAAAGTGTGAACTACTTGACCTTTGATCACTTATGGTGCAATATTTGATTCAAGTGAATTTCACTCCATATTTTTCATAAAAAGTGCACTATTTCATTTTGACTATGCATTTTTGTCATTTTTACATTTTTTTACAATGAAGAACATTTTGATTTATTCAAGAAAATGCATCAAATTTATTTTTATTCGTGACCATGACAATTTTTAGTTGAATTAATATATCTGATCCAAAGAAGATGAAGGATTAGTTTGTTTTTACTTCTCACATTTTCTTTATTTATTTTTTAACTGGGATGTTATAAATCAATTAATGTAATTGATCTTATTTTTTTGGAGATTAAGGTTTGATTATTGTTTGTTGTAGGAAAATGACACTTAGTTTAAATCAATATATATGATATGATAATTAGTTAGTTAATTAATTAGTTTGAACCTAAAGCACAAAAAGGAAAAGAAAGAGAATCATACTACCTCTATCCGATAAATTAAATTGCAACTTTTTTAGTTCCAAAATTTTAAGCAGAATTAATAATTAAAATTATATATTTAGAAATACCTTAAAAATTATAGGGTTTATATAAAAACATTACTAAAATAAAACATATTTATAAAAATACGACCAATAGTTCCTACAATGTAGTGACATGGTAATTCAAATTTTTAAAATGAACATAAGTTACTATAATTTCATTACTACTATAGTCACTAGTTACATTTTTCTAAACAATCTCTATTTTAATCGTAAATATGTAATTATTTCAAAATTTATATTAAATTGCGATAGTTTAATTGAATAACATGAAATTTAGATACATGAAAATATAATCTCGTAGTTGAAGTGTGTATTGTGTTAGTGTTAGAGCCTTTTTGCTAACACTAAAATTGGCTATATCGGATGATTGTGTTGAAATTTATGAAATTCTGGCTGAAGTGTGGATTGACTGATTCGACTTAGATATAAAAAAAGTGTATTTAAAATATAAATTAATAATAAAATAAAGAAAATATATATATGAAATTGATACAATGATCACATACAGTAACTTTAATCAATCCAGTCATAAAAATAACTCAAACCTAACTTATTTTGATCATTACACACCTCAATGTGTGAAATCAAAAGTTACGAGTGTTGGTAAAAAAGTTGGTTGATAAGCCGAAAAGCAAGGTCATGAAACATGCTCTCTTAATATTAGACTACTGGAACACGTTTGGTAACATTAAACTGATCGAATATGTTGAAATTGGTAAAATTTCAATTCATTTCCGATGACTTGGGGTCGCAACTTTCCATCATATGTATGTGTCAAGTACCTTGTGGTTTGATAACATAACTGGTGATTTCCCCAAAAAAATCACATGTTTGAGTCTCATCTCAATTAAAGATGTTGACATTAATCAAAACAAATAGTATACTCAGTAATAAATTTAGAAAGATATGTACAAAAACATTTTAAACTAGTAAGTTCTATTTTCCTAATTGAAAAAAAAAACTGTATTGGTAAATCTCCTTTAATGAAATGATAGTGAACTCATTCCTCTCACTCACTAACTCTCTATATAAAGCGTCCTTCCTCCTCCCCCTTCACTACATCTCTGCTCCCTCTCCCTCCTAAAATAACCGTCTCTTCCAGCAATCTCCCTCCCTCCCAAAATAACCGTCTCCTCCAGCAACCGAACCGGAGCCTGAAACCGAGCTTACCTATCGGAACCAGGACAGTGAGCCTACTCGCGATACAGAGGATCGTAACCAGAGCTCCAAGCACGCGATCAAGCTCTTCCGCTCCCGCTGGTCGCATTCCAGGTTTCCATCTTCTTCTTCTTCAATCCTCCTCTGCATTTTGTTTCTCTCTAGAAAGGAATATACTAATCCTTTCTAGCGTACAATTAATTTATTACTAATCCCGATGAGTGAGGATTACCGTTGCTACTTTCGGGGGATTAATCGACGATATTCGACTAAAATCTAAAAAGTAAGGTCGAAATTTAGTTTTGAAAAAGTAACCTACAATTGGAATCCCCCCTAGGCCTCTCTCTAGCTGCTCTGTTTATGTGTTAATCACTTGGTCGTCAAGCGCGTGTGTGTAAGTTGTAAGCACGAAACCAGGCACGATGAAGCTATTTAATTACTTCCTATACGGCTATACAGCGGTGCATTTTTCATTTTTATTTTCCCCGACCAGGGCATGCATTGTGTAGAAAAAATCATGGAGGTGTTGAAATGTCTCTTATTGGACTGTACGGACGCCTGCTTTGGTCTTCTTCGCGTTTGAATATATACATATATTCGTATAATGCTGAAAGGGCTTTAATTTATTTCTAAATGGAACGGAATGAACTTTTAAAGTAAAAGAGCCCATGAGTTTCCGGAGAACTTTTTACTCTGTTTCTGGCTTTCCAGAAATGATTGCTCAGTTGGTCCGGTGGTGGAAAATTTGGAATAAGTTATCAAAGTTCAAAATCCGCAGCGGCCGTGTGGAGGTTAGCGTGATGGACTGGACCTTTGATGCGCACAGGTATACGGCCTAACATCATTGGGTCGACAAAGTCACCGTGATTAACATTCTCTCAAAAATTGTGTCGGATCGAGGTATGGGGTATGGGACTCATGGAGCAGGAGATTCCACCTTTCCGAACAAGAAATGATTGGTGATAAAGTGGACTCCCAACACATATATCAGCCAGCCATGCCAGAGAGTAGAGAGAATTTATAGTGCTTTTATTATATTCTTCTTAATTAGTTAAGGATGGTTTGAATTGATCTATTTCTAATAGTGCTTTTCCAAATCAAAACACTGGTTTAAGCGATGGAATATATTCATGATTTGATTTGGGAACTTGCCAGAAATAGGAATACAAAACAACTTTTTAATTGCAACGGTCCACTTTTAACGTTTGGTAATGCACAAGTTTGACCATTAATATATTTCATTCCTTATTAGTAAAAAAATTAAAAATTTCAGATTTTGAAAATTTAAAGTGAGAAGAATTTAACAATATTTTTTAGAAATTTAATTTGTAATACATTAATAAATAAAATATAGTCCAAGTAAAATGTGTGAATAATGCAAAAAATCTAATGGTGCAATTAAAAGATAAACGGAGATAGTATATGGTAATACAAAAGACGAGTATTAACTTTTTGCTTAAAAATTAGTTTGTAATTATACAGCCATATTTTGACGGACATTAAATTAATTTAATAGTAACGAGCGATTCTTTTCAAACAGTACAGTACTAATTACTCTTATTCAGAAAAATACAATTATCATATTTTGAAGTATCATTTTACTTTTACTTTCATTCAAGGCAATTTATGATGATCTTGATTTAACATTCCTTCAAATTTCACATTAGAGTGCTTAAGCCTTGTTAGTTCAAAGTAGGAGGCAAGAAAGGAGGAGTGGAAGGATGGTAATCGTAGCTAAAAGAGGTGAAATTATTATAGATGAAACTTTTGCACAATTTATAGAACCAAGCATTACTACAGAAATTTACATCAATAGAAATGAATGAATAAGGTCTAATTTTAAATTACAATTTATAACTGTAATATGAAGTTTAAATACATGTATACGGAATATATAATTTGATTTAAATACAAAGCTGTTCCTAGCTAGATTATAAAAAGATCGAACTAATTTCAATCATTGATACATAGAAATGAATGAATAAGGTCTAATTTTAAATTACAATTTATAACTGTAATATGAAGTTTAAATGAAATTACGGTAACAAAGTGCATCAAAGTATACAAAAGTGTGTGTGTATATTACAAAGTACATTAAAATTTGAATGAAATAAGAATATATCTTAAAGATGTGATTACCTTTTAAACATTTTTGTGTGTTGTTTCATGTATTATGCATTTTGTAACATTAAACTATGCATATTAAAGTATTTGGACCAAGAAAAAACTACCAAAATCGATTACGTAAAATCCAAAAAAAAATCGAAATTTATTAAACTTTATAATAAATGAAGAAATACAAAGCGGTAACGAAAGTAGAAAACACTGGAAAAGGTAGAGCTAATGAATAATTGCGCTAAAGAAATAAAGAAGCTGAAGCAATCCATGACTCAACGAAAAGCCATCAACCCATAACCATGAGCCCATCAAACTGCCTCCCAAAAACCGAAAAAATAACCATCCAAAAGCTTGTAACACGTAATAGCTAAAATCTTAATTTTCAATTTGGATTACTTAACTGATCAGACAACTCCTAATCAGTATCATAACCTGGAGAATCATACTCGTTTGAGCTATCAATAGCCTCGGCTTCAGAGGCACCTATAATACCATAATGTCCTGAAAAGGAATTACATCAATTACCGTCCTCGTTGCAAACACTCTCTTCAACTTTAGCACTTGTATCTACGATCGTCCCCTCAATAATTTAACCCACAGTTTTTCTTTTATTTTTATTTTTATTTTTTTTTACTCCAGGGGCCTAGGGGAAGGGCCTGGGGGAGCCTGGAATAATTAAGGCTGAAACTTACTCTATTGAGTTTCAAACCCTTTATGTGCCTAGCTGGGTTGGAATGCTTGGTTTAACACACATAATACTCTGAATTATTGTAATTTTACCACTTCTTATCTTGATCGATACATATCCATTACATCTACCAATTTTCAAATTTTTCAAATGATAATGACCAAGATTTAATGTGGAACTACTTTTCACTCAACCATTTAAATTTCCACACACATATTATTATTTTTTTACGCTGCGGAGTAATGTACAAGACACTCAATTCATTAAAATAGTGAAAAGTTGTAGAAAGTAAAAGGTGAATAAAAAATAAAAAAATCGAATAACGTAACTGAATGGGAGAAGTTAACTGTTATGAATATAAAGAACTAAAACACAGATAGTAAAACAAGGCTTTGGACCTAAAAAGTCCCATATTGTAATATTCAGTACATGCTTTACCTTAAACGTCAAGATATGGGTTAACTTTTAGATTCGATTAATCCTTGACTAGACAAAATGATTAGACGGATCATTTTACTGTGAAGAGTTAAATTTTGTAGAAATTCAAAACTAAATAATGATGTAACCCAATTAATTAATTTGGTGAAAATAACCCGCTTGGTCAGAAATTTCGGAATTAATACTTTATTACAGCAAGAAAGACTTGATGATGCTTAATTACTTTTTTCAAGAAATACAGAGACTAACGTACTTCATAAAAACTAAAAAGAATATGAGAAATGGTAAAGGTACACCAAAATTGAGTACCTCATTCTTACTCGGCCTAATGTGTGGCCATAGACGGGTAACACATTCAAGTGGGGCACCACTTAAATGTGTTGCCCCATTTATGACCACACATTAGGCCGATGTAAGAATGGGGTACCTCATTTTGGGGTACTTTTAACATTTCTCAAATAATATAGAAGGAAGAATAATAATATACGGAGTAACTCAAATGCCATAAAGAATATTTTGAGCCCGTTTGGTAACACAAAAATCGGTTGATTCGGCTGATTCTGTTGGAACTTATGAAGTTCTAGTTGAAGTGGCTACATTGGTTGATTCTGTTGATTTAAGAAAAAATATTTTTAAAATATATTTTATTAATAGCTGAAATGGTTATCCACAGTAACTTCAGCCAATATAGCTAGAAAAGTAACTTTAACATTACTTTTTCTTATTATTAAACAATTCAGCACACGAAAACAAACGTTGCGTGTTTGGTGAAAAAATTGGCTGGTAAACCTGATAAGCCAAAAAACAGTGTTACCAAACGGTCTCTTTATATTTTTACATTCTTATATTGGGTTGTTATTTTTAAAATTATTTTGAAGTTTTATTGTTTTCAGATTATATCATTATATGTTGATTTTCATATTAAAAAGAAGACTTTGTCTATTTATAATTTCTATATTTTATGATTGTTTCTAGTGTTTATTAATGTTTGCAATTTTTCAAATGATGCCGTCCTATAAAAGACTAAAGCTTGGCCGAATTGTAAATTGATTATTTTTTTAAAGTTAGAATGCTGCTATTATAAAATATTAGTATAAGAGAGTATAAGAGACTATAGGATGAATTTTAAACAGTAAAAGACTCATTTGACATTATTTTAATGAGTCGAATGATCATGTAAACATGTTTCTCTTTTGACGGATAACTTTACTCAAGTGGGTGAACAAAAAAATATTTTTTTGTATATGTAAATGAGATATGACATTATCTTTGTAAAGAGAATAAATACTTGGTACTCAATTAATACATGTTTTAATGTCAATAAAATAAAGCCAATGTGAGTTTGTTACACTAATAAACTCATGCTTTTTGTAAGGCAAAATAGAGTAATTGACAGAACGCCTGGCTTCTGTGCACGAAAAAATCCCTTTAGGTTAGAATGTTAGATTCTCTTGGCTAGTCCGCTAGTAAGCTGGAGCGCAAGTAACATCGTGCCTTTTCAGTTTTCACTAAAAAATTACTCCCTCCGTTCCCTTTTAAATGTCCCGGAAGAGGGTGACACGAGTTTTAAGAAAAGTAGGTTTGTGTAGTTGATATTAATAGATAAAATAAGAATAAAGTAAGAATAAAGTAAGAATGATTTTGAACCACACAAACTTTACCAAATAAGGTATGAGACAATTAAATAGGGACATCCCAATATGGTAAAATGGGACATTCAAAAGGGGACGGAGGGAGTATTCTGTTTTATAAAAGAATTTTTGATTTATTTATTTATTTATTGGGACTAAATAATCCTTAGCTTGAAATTAAAATTTAATTCCCATATGAGTGAATGAGTGTATGAATATTTTTTACCTTGAGATCCAATTTTTTGGGAAAATTTCTGAAATATGAGTAAAAATGTTTTGAAATTTCAAAACAAGACTACTATGTTTCTCCCCTTTGAAATAGGAGTAAGATAACATTATTTACTGTCATCTTAAAAAATTTACCGTCAAAATATTTGTAGTAGTAGAACTTAACATCACAGATTTTATTTTCAATCATCCCAATAACGATTTCTATTTCAGAAAGAAAAAATAACGATCTTCTTTTGAAATTTGAAACGTTTTCCCTTCTATTTATGGGAATTTCCCACATTTTTTCTAATTAAACTCAATTGGTGAACCGAAAGCGATTGCCGCTTAAGCGAGTGCTTTTTAATTGATGCATGACATCGGTACAAAGTACATTTAATTAGTATCCAATTTGGCATTGAGAACAAAAAAGAAATAACAAATGGAAGTTTCCAAAAAAAAAGTACTCCGTATAACATTTTAAAATAGAGATATTATATTTTTCCTTAGATAAATGTAAATGCTTCCATTTTGAAATTCACGTTTTGACATTATTATGCATAATTAATAATATGGTAGCAGAAAAGTTTTAGCATGATAATAGTATATCTGGCAGGATTTTCTAATAATGACAGTAGTACTCTTATTTAAGAAAGCAAATATTATACTCTTATTTTAGATTATTGCACTGGCATTTAATTACTCTTTAATTAAATAAGGCAATTTATCTAATAAATACGAACTGATTTTGGCATGCTAATTTACAAGGCAAATATTTACCGTGGATTTACACGGCAGTTTTTCTATATATTGGCCAACATCAAAGGTTATTTGTTTACCATTCGTTGAAGACGCATCGGAGGCTTGAACACAAAACCTTTTGCTGCTTTCTATATATTGCCCACTACATCAAAGATGGTTGGAACTCCGGTAGCTGCTTTTCAATAGCTCCTCTTTTTTGCTTTTCCTTTAATTTATTTGCTTTTTAGATAGTTTAATTGCAATTTGTTTCAAATATTGAGGGGTTACCTATAATGGTACTAAGTAATTTTTTGAACAAATCTAAGACTACATGATCACTAATCACTATAAAACTATCATTATATGTAACTATATCGTAAATTAAACCACTATTATCATCCCTCCAACGTCTCCGGAAATACAACTATGATCACTATAATTACTACGTTTTAGTCATATTTTTGTGTATGATTTTTGTCTTAATCATTGATTTATCATTATTTCGTTAGATCCACGATTTATTTATTAGTTCATCACATGTAAACTAACTTGTAAATTAATTTTTATATGAAATCCTATTCAAGAAATCAGTGTTCGGTAAAAAATTACTTTTTTGCATATTTTTTACAGGCACTACTTTATGATAGTTATTATAATATGCCCAATTCTTTGAAAAAATATTAGTTTGTTAAAGGAAAAAAATATTGGTTATTCACGATTACTCATATTAGCATAGTTTTATTTCAAAGAATTTGTAAATACTCTGTATAAATTATTCATTTTTTGTTTTGATAGTTATTTAAAAAAAATGATAGTTATGTAAAAATGATACACCAAGTAGCTAACTAACAAGTTATTATATAAACGACCCAACAAAATACGAACATAAGATCACTTAACAAGTCTCCGTAACTTTGAAAGTATGCCCTTTTTTGTACTTTCAATTACGGAGTATTAAACTTAATAGCTACAAATGAGTTCACGCGGTTTGACCACGTAAACAATACAAAGTAAATCATAGGTGCTCTTTTGTTATACTTTTTCCTCATCCTCCAATCATCTATTTCCTCTTTTTCCATGTTCCCTTCAAATTTATATCATACTACCCTTTCTAGTTTTTGTATTGTTCGAATCTAATTACTACCTCCCTTTTTAAATAAATCAATAATAAATTTTTCACGTTTGTCAATGCATAAGTTTGTCCATTGATATATTTATTTCTCTATTATTACAAATTTGAAAATTTTAGATTTGAAAGTTTACGATGAAACAAATTTAACAATATTTTTACAGGAATAAATTATAAATATATTAATTAATGAAATGTAGTCAAAGTAGAACGTGTGAAAAATTCAACATGCTGCACTTATCTAAGAACGTGAGAAGTTGTTTTACAATAATTCATTTACAACATCTTAAATTTATTTTCTATATTATGTCATTATTCATGTCCAAAGATAGTACTCCATAAAATACATTGTTTGAAGAGTTTTATTGAATCATCTTTGACTTTTTCAATAAAAGATGACAAACTTGATTCATTATTTTAACTAATATATTTATTTGAAAGTTAATAAATTTATATCTTTAGGATAACATTTTTAACAAAGAACATTTACTTATAACTTTCATATTGTCAATATTATCGTGTATAAATATACAATTGGTCAAACTTGAATAACTTTGATTAGAACAATAGTGTTTGGTTAAATAAAAAGGGACGTAGAGGGTATTATAATAGGTTACAACACATCTTAGAAAGTATACCAAAAACATTATTTTAGTTTAATTTTCAAAACAAAAAAGTGAATTTCCGGCCGTCTAATATTGCAACCATTATTTCCCCTACTAAAAATCTTCATTGTCCGTCGGTACATTACTCGTCCCTATGTAAAGCTAAGGTATTCTCACTTTTACTTCTTTCGTTGTATGTTGGTTGGTGTTAGTCAATTGTCACATAAGACGGGTTCATTCATATTGGAGCATTTTATTTTGATATCTGGCCAATGATATGAGGGCAGCAGTCATAAACTCCATATAGTATATTGGCCACCGTTGTGTAGAGTATTCCTATAAATAAGGAACAACTTTTGGAATGTTCTTATATGTCTTGTTTGTGTTTTCTGAAAAGTTGAATCGGTCGATATTTAATTCCAAAAGGCGTGTACGACAAATCATTAATAACCGTATATTGCTTTTCCTTACTACTATCAATTTTTTGAATATATATAAACTTTGTCACTCAGACCATCAGATCAAGTTTTTATCAATTTTTATTAATTAAATAAAAGATGAAAATATTCAATATCACTTATTAGCCCGTTAGGATTTAATTAATCATTTTCGGCCCAATGACCCTCAATATCATCATCATTAGGGGGAAAACCGAATAAATAAGGCAACATGAATGTTTGTGTACTACTAATGAATCATTAATTACACCATTCCCCGTCCCCGGTTGTAATGGGGACTTGTCAACTGAGGAATAGGTAAGATATCTGAAATGGATACTAATAAGATACAAAATATAATAGACGATCATCCTAGATACAAATTATGTTTCTTAATTTTCTGACCAATAATTTGGAAGTGAACTTAGGATGTTTTTACTTGGACCGTAGTCCGTCCCAGACCAGATCAGACTTTGATATTTATAAAAATACAAGATCAGACCAGATCAGTAAATTACGGTCCAAGTAAAAACATTCTTAAACTCTTCTAAATTTAATTTTAGTTTCACATTGATCATTTGTAATTGTTACTACGTATTATAAAATAGAATAAAAAGATTTTCAGAAAACTTGAGTTAACTTGCAAAAACCTTCACTTTTCACTTAACCTTGAGGTTGAACATATTTTATTACATTTAATTGTTTTAAACAATATTTTCATATATGCAAGTATTTTCACATAATATATCTAATTTTTGCTAAACCTTAACGTATTCAATTTTAATTTTACATGTTAACTTGATTTCACTTTACCGGATGAACTAAGAAGGTAAATCTCATTGTTCTAGGTTACTAACACTTGCTCGACAGTGAATTAAGAAGACTTAATTCAAATATGACCATACTTAGGCTATGTTTGGCAGACATAAGTCTCTACCTTCTAGCTTTTGTACTGTACAAAAAGTCTCTAAAAACTTCTAGTTATATGTTTGACATGACAATTTTTAAGAGCTTTTTAAAAATCAAAAGATCTTTTTTGAGATGCTACAGGGAGTAGCATCTGAAAAAAGTCCGTGACTTTTAGTATTAATTAGTCTTAATAGTTTGTATACCAAATCGAACTAAATCAAACAGTCAGTTTTTTACCAAACAGCTACCACCTTTTATCTTTAAGATCTTTTCAATCACTAAAAGCTAACGTTTTTTAAAAAACTAACAAAAGTATCTTTTCAGCTAGTTATGCCAAACTTACACTTATTTACTTATTACTACGTAATAAAGTTTATACAAATCGAATAGAGATATCACATCATTTGAGCCACACGTGCGGCCGCTGGCTAGTACAAAGATCTGCATTTAAACCTGTCTTCCAAAAGCAAAAACATATACCTTTCACAAAATTTTACCAAGTTTCTCACACACAAAAAAATTAATTATTTTCATACTCCGTATAAAGAAGTAAAGATGTGATTAAAATAACTTCTCCCTTCTTTAATTTACAAAAATTTAATCAGACTATGAAATTACAACTTCTTTGTCGTCCAAATATTTTTTTTCTCATACCTTCACTTGCATGGCTGAAAGGCTTAATGTAATGAGATGCCCTGTAATCCTGTATAGCTCAGGCCGGCGCAAGAGATCGGCTTCCCTCCCTTTTTTTCTATCACTATGATAATTCATTGCCACTCTGAATTATTTCAAACGTCTCTCCCTTCACCCTGATTTACTTGCTACGAACCATTTAAGAAGTCTAATCTTGATATTTGACTCTAAATTGCTCAAGACTTCTTCAGTAATTGATAAGTGTACGACTGTACGGGATCAAATAAAGTGGTTCCCATTTCTGGTCCTGTTTTTTCGCCATTAGCTTTACCCTCTGAGTCTGATTGAGTCCTGATTTCGCTTTATAAAATTTGATTTGCATCTTTGTAAGAAGCGAAAAAAAAACTTGGGAAAACTTAATATAGCTGCAAAGATTAGTGAAGGTTTTCTTGCTGTTTTAGTTCAGCAGGATTTGCATGGAATGTGTTTGTTTAGTTGTCAGGTGTGAAACCTTTTCTAATATGCTCAATAGTTGTAACTTGTGTGGGGTTGCATGTGTTTATGTATGCATGAATCATTTTTTTTATTTGACACGTTTTCATACAATGGGGTCGGGACCTAGGATGTACCATTAAATTTCTAAAGGTGAGGGCAGCTACAAGTCTTTGGGTGGAAAACGAACATCTAGGACTTGGTGGTAGACCCCAATTTCCAACTTATGGAATTATATGGATCCCATTGTCTTTGTTATCCTCTTTCTTTATGTCGATTCAGCTTTCCTAGTTTTAGATTGCTTAAAGGAGTTTTAGTGCCTCCTTCGTGTTTGTCTTTCAGAAAGTTAAGTTAGACTTGACTATTACTGTTTGTGTTGGATTCTTGTTACTATTGCAATTTTGAAATTTATATCAAGCAGCAACAGACTATGTTGTTGTGTACTGATATTTTATAAGTAGTACGTATTTGTACAACCAAAACGCATGACAGAAATATTGGAGCTGTATTAAAGTATAATCATTTCAGGTTGCTGCTGGAGAAATGCCTGGGAACAAGTATGTTGAAGCTCCAGTGGTCCCCACAACACGAGTGGAGAGACTCTTGAGAAAAAGGGAACTGAGGAAAACTAGACCTCAGTTAAACGATTCTGTTGAACATGCTTGGGACCAAAGAGTAGAGTCTGATGACCTGGGAGTTCCCCAGGTGGAACAACATGTGGAAGGAGCTGCACGAGCAGTTAATGAAGAACATCAAAGGGGCGATCGGAATATTATCAGACAGCGACTGCTGGTTGTGGCAAATAGGTTGCCAGTCTCGGCAGCGAGGAATCCTGATCAGTCTTGGTCACTGGAGATTAGTGCTGGTGGTCTAGTTACTGCTCTTCTTGGTAAGTCTTTGTTTGATTATCTTCTTCCTATGATAATAATAATCAACCTGAATGAGCGGGGGCTGATATTTGAAGATGTTTCTATTTTGGTAGGTATAAAGGAGTTTGAGGCCACGTGGATTGGTTGGCCTGGTTTGAATCTCACCGGTGATGAGGAAGGGAGGAAGTCACTTGCAAAATCATTAGCCCAAAAGGTGCACTAACATTGTCTTCTTTGCCTTAGTTTTACTCATTTATTGAATTGCTTGTTGCCTCTGGTAACAACTTATGTCATATTTATGATAATTCCCACATCTTTATCTTACAATGTCACTAATTGTTATAGAGATGAGTTCCTGTTTATTTTTATAATAAATCCCACAAACCATTTTCTTACACTATGACATCAATTATAACAGAGATGTGCTCCTGTTTTCCTGGATGATGAGATTGTTGATCAGTATTACAATGGTTACTGCAATAACATATTATGGCCGCTTCTGCATTATCTTGGACTTCCACAAGAAGATCGACTTGCAACGACCAAAACTTTCCAGTCCCAGTTTGATGCATTCAAAAGAGCAAATAACATGTTTGCTGATGTAGTGAGTGAACATTACAAGGATGGTGATATTGTTTGGATTCATGACTATCATCTTATGTTCCTCCCAGAATGTCTAAAGAAGAACAACAGTAAAATGAAAGTGGGTTGGTTTTTGCATACACCATTTCCTTCTTCCGAAATACATAGGACATTGCCATGCAGATCAGAGCTGCTGCGTGCAATTCTTTCTGCCGATATGGTTGGGTAAGTTCTACATTACTGAAGAGTGCACAAATTTAACAAATCACCTCAAATGATTGATTAGTTACCGTTTACTGTCTGTTCAACCAATCAATATATGAGTAATACCAATATTGACAAGAAATTAGACTGCATATTGAGTTCCCAATGAGGTGATTGAAATATCTCCTCAGCTTTGAATTGTTTTTCCCTTGTGCAACGTAGAAATTCAAGAACTTAACAAAGATGGTTAGTTTTATGAGGAAACTTGAACAAGGCCTACCTAGTAAGTATGTTTAGTATTATGTCACAGGGCTTTATAGTGACTCTAATTAATAAGGTATTGAATGACTTGCAATTTATGAGTGAGTTTGGTACATTTCTCCCATATTAATGTCCATTTTCAGACAATGCTTTAATTTAGCTGAGAATACTGGACCTTCTCCTACTATTCTCTTAAGACTTGTACTCTTTTGCTTTTTTCTATCTATGTTTCGGACCTCGATAAACACATCACTGTACCTCTGATATTTTTAATCCTGGCAATAATAACAGGTATTGCCATTATCTCAGCCTTTTTTTCTTTTGTTTTTTCCTTCAGTTTTCACACCTATGACTATGCAAGACATTTCGTTAGTGCATGTACTCGCATCCTTGGGCTTGAAGGTACTCCTGAAGGAGTAGAGGATCAAGGGAGACTGACCCGTGTAGCTGCGGTATGCTATAGACTATATTGACACAAAGTCGTACTTAAAAAGCTATGACTTCCATGAATCTGTTTCTAAAAGGTTTTGTTTTCATTTTGACCTCACTTACAAATGTTCTTTCACTTCCTTGTCTTCAGTTTCCAATTGGAATAGATTCTGACCGATTCATTCGAGCTGTTGAATCCCAGTCAGTGCAGGGCTACATGGGAGAGTTGAAGAATAGATTTGAGGGGAGAAAGGTATCCTCTCCTTTTCACAAAACTTATTGAATTTTTAAGAACTCTTATTCCGAAACCCACATGTTATTTAGTTCTGCAAGACAAGCAAATTTATTTATTTTAAAAGTCACTCTATTTTAAAATTTATTCAGCTTCATACTTGACAAGATCTTTCATGATGTTCATACCTTTTCATTTTTCTTCTTCATTCTGAATTTCTCTCATATCAAGGCCTGCTAGTGACATTGTTTTTGCAAGAAAAAGGCTTTTTTATTGCAAAACTCTTCAACTCTTCATTGGTAGGCGATCAAGCCTAAGAACAGATAAAACTGGGGATTATCACACTTCAAAACATTTTGAAATGCATCCGGTAGGAAATATAAAAAAAACATTGCATTTATTAGAGTTATGATAAAAAGTGTTGTTTGTTTGATGTGTGATGGTTGTTTTCACCTCCAAATTGAAACCAGCTTCTTCTGCTTCTTTAACCTTGAGATGTGTTTTTGAAACTATTGCCAACAACCAAGCGGTTTTCAGAGACCTGCTGTAGGGCAGGTCTGACCACGAAAGCTTTCCCGCCTTTCCGCCCTTTCTTATGTTTACCATTTGTGGCATGGGAGGCGGCAATGGCAGCTTCTTCATCCTTTACTTCCTCTGCCTCGGCGTTATCATTTAAAGGATTCATCTGTTTCAGCATCTTACACAGCTTCTAATGCCTAAATTTTCAATGGGTTGCTCATAGTCATTCTTCATGGGCTTCTCCTTCTCTCCAGTAAGAGCTTCTGGTATTCTCCAAATATCTTCATGTCCTTCCCACTAGTTGTATCAATGTTGTTCTCCTAATCATCCGAAACTGGAGGCAGAATGTTTTTGGTATTCTCATCATCTTCTGTTTCTTGTCGATCAAACTTCTCCTCACCATCAATGCTCTTGTCCTTTCCCTCCTCTTGATGGAGGCCATCAGATGTAGAATACTAGAATACCACCACATTTCATCATTGCTGCTGGTATTCTCCTTCTCCTCAGCCTCATTCTTACAACCATCATATTACTCCACCATTTCATCACCACAGCCCTTCTCCTGATGGAGGCCACCAGATGTAGCATACTGCTCACTTGTTGGATGGAAGCAGCTTAACCATTTCATCATCATCTTCACCTGAGGTTTCATCATTGCTGCTGGTATTCTCCTCCTCAATATTATTCTTACCACCATCAAATTGCTCCACCATTTCATCACCACAGCCCTTCTCCTATGGAGCCATGGAGGCCACCAGATGTAGCATACTGCTGCTTGTTTGATGGCAGCAGCTTAACCATTTCATCATCATCATCTTCACCTGAGGTTTCATTGATGGTGGTAGTAAGAATGAGATTGAGGCCTGCTAGTGACCTAGTGTAGGATAGGCTGATAGTGTCCATAATTTTAGAATGACATATAATCTCGTATTCATTGTTCTGTTTTTATCATTCACCAATTATTCAATTAATAGTTATATAAGTTGCCTCTGTGTTATTTGATTTGATTTGTCCAGTTTCTTTTTTTCCCTCCCCCCTCCTAACTATTTAAGTTACTACGTAGTATTACCGATGTGTAGTCACCTCCTAACCTCCTTACACACTATGCATGCATGTGCTCACAGCTCACATGCACATAATTTCTCTTTTAATCTTTTTAAGATTTTATTTCCTTACAGATCATTGTAGGGGTTGATAGACTTGATATGATCAAAGGGATTCCCCAAAAGATACTAGCATTTGAAAAATTTCTCGAGGAAAATCCACAATGGCATGATAAAGTGGTTTTGCTGCAAATTGCTGTCCCAACGAGAGTAGATGTTCCTGAATGTATGATTTCTTATGTTTCTATGTTCTCTTTTTTGGAGTTTCCATCTTTAGAGGGACATGCAATCAATAAAACTTATGTTTGGTGTCTATGATAATGCTTGTAGAGACCATTAGAAATTCATGTTGGTAAGCAATACATAATAAAAAGGAAAAAATAAAATAATAATAAATATGCAATCTCACTATGAGCCTATACAGTTACATTTTTACAAATTATTTGGCAACGGGCATGGAAGATATCCTTCAATGCGAAATAAATCTAAGATGTGTATGCATTCATATAGTTAGATCTCATTTAAGTACGTAGGTACTATCTATCTCTATATGCCCAAGTAATTAGATCTGATTTAACAAGTCTTCTATCTTTGCAGATCAAAAGCTAGCCAGTCAGGTCCATGAGATTGTTGGACGCATCAATGGCAGATTTGGATCTTTGTCTTCTGTTCCCATTCACCATCTGGTTTGTCTTGTCTTCTGTCATTTACGCTTACAGAATAATACAAGTAATGCTTACTGCTCAATGTGCTCATGAACATTAGACATTAACAAACATGTAGACCTACATCAGATTTTACTATATGTCATGGGAAAACATTAATACATTTATTAGCATTAGTTAACTTTCTTTTCCCTCGGTACTGAGGCTATGTTGTCAAAATGTTTTTTCTCAAAGTTTTTCTTCAGTGTGATAACCACCTTTTACAAATGCCTGAATAACTTTAGTACCTTACAATAAGTGGCCATGCTTCACTGCTTTTCACCAACTTTCTACGTCCTCATATCATTGCTGATGGTATAATTATGTAGTTTTTTCTGTCTTCTTTATGCCATATCTTGATTTATTAAAGTAACGTCCTTGCAGGACATTTCAATTTCTCTGCTTCAAATATGTTTTTTTTAAGAGTTCTACTTCTCTGTGTCAATATGTTGAGACTTCACAATGTCATTGAATAATTGTGGAAATCCTATTATTTTTTGATAAACAACTAAATCTTGAAATCAGCTTTTAGCCATTTATTATGCAACTTGTTAACCATAATCTATTTATCTGCAGGACCGTTCTCTTGAGTTTCATGCTTTATGTGCGCTGTATGCTATTAGTGGTACTGATTCCAAAACTTCTATTTGCAAACACTAATTTATTCCATCTTTTTGGTAATTAGTTATGATCCACATTCAAAATGCCCCAAGACAGGGTTCGACTGCTCCAATATATAAATAAATTGTATCAAACCGTTGTAAAGTATGTTCTCCTCATCTTTCCCAACAAAAGAGTCAACTTAATATTGAAGTTGTACAACTATCTTGCTACAACTTGCAAGATAGTTGTACCATCATGAATGGTCCTGTACAACCCAAAGTTTTTACGATGTTCAAAACTGAGCTTGTTTTTTTGGACAAGAAATCTTGAAATATGAATCTGTTTTGGGGATAGAGCCGACTCATAGAGGGAGTATATATGTTCAAGAAGTTTACTGCAGTGGCTCCCAAACCTACTTGTTTTGCCAGTGGCGTCGTGTGTGAAAAGTACAACACGCTACCTATAATAATCAATAGTGTGTCTCACTATCTAACAAAACATTGAAGTTTCTTAACGTCATTCGTGTTTTAATTTGATTCACTCCTCTGATTGACCAGATGTAGCACTTATCACATCTTTACGTGACGGAATGAACCTTGTCAGCTATGAGTTCGTGGCTTGTCAAGCATCAAAAAAGGGGGTTCTTATCCTTAGTGAAGTAATTACAATGCTTATTTTATTCAAATTCTCTAAATATTGAAACATTTTCTGTTTGCTGCAACTTAAAAACTCATTTAACATGAACTGAAGACCCCTGTAGTTACTAAAGCACCCCAGTTCGCTTTTTAAAATAGCTAATGCAGGTTTTTATTTTTGGGTTCCCTTTGGGCATATTTGCAGTTTGCAGGTGCTGCACAATCTTTGGGAGCTGGAGCACTTCTTGTTAATCCTTGGAACGTCTCAGAAGTCGCTGCTTCTATCAAGCAGGCCTTAGATATGCCTCCTGATGAACGTGAAAAACGTCACCTGCTTAACTTTACACATGTGACAACCCATACTTCTCAAGAATGGGCAGAAACGTTTGTGAGGTTTGTAGACCTAAGTAACTAACTGGCTTTAATTTTTTTAGTGGAATGGACAAACATTTCCAGAATTCTGCCACATAAGAAAAAAAATCATTGAATCATGTCGTTCAAAATCAAGAACCAATAAATGAATTTGGTTATAACAAAAAATGAATACATAAAATGTGATATAAAAAAACTGCTGAGCTTACCCCAGTTTCAAATTCTGATGGAGAGAGTATATACAAAAGAGATCCAGTACTGGCCGGTTGGTTTCCCTGCCAATCTGACGACATTCTGTTTTTTCCTGTTGGCCGCAGTGAATTAAATGACACTGTTCTTGAAGCTCAGCAGAGGATAAGAGACGAGCCACCACAATTTGATGTCAGTAATGCAATTGATCGGTACATGCAGTCCAATAACCGGCTGCTGATATTGGTATGATTTTCAATAATTTTTCCTGAATGAGAGACATGCATATACTTGTAATTTTTTGTTCTCTTTCTCCCGCCATGATAAAGTTTATTATAGTAACTTGTAACAAAACAGTTTAAACCATTGAACTTATAATTTGTTACACCACAGGGTTTCAATGGGGTGCTGACAGAAATGGTGGATAGCCCTGCAAGAAGAGGTCGTGATCAGGTTAAAGATATGGAACTTAAGCTGCATCCTGTTTTGAATGGACCTCTAGCCGCATTGTGTAGGGATCCAAAAACAACGATTGTTATTCTCAGTGGAAGTGACAGAACTGACTTAGATGCTGTAATGCAAATCTCTCTCTCTGTCTCCCCTGACCTTAAATATATCATTATTCTTAATTAAGTCTGAACAAGTGCCATTTTGCAGAACTTTAGTAAGTACAACATGTGGTTGGCAGCAGAGCACGGAATGTTTCTTCGGTCTGCAAATGGAGAGTGGATGACTACAATGCCTGAGCTCCTAAACATGGATTGGGTTGACAGTGTAAAGGTATGAGGAATGCATCTATGTTATAGACTATAGTGTTATACACACTCACACACACATATATTATGCCATCCACAGCCCATTCAATAAGCTCAAATATTAACGTCAAATGAGAATTTATTCATTCTGTTCCAATTTTGTGCATTCCAATATGGACCTAATATGGAGTAATGGGCCCAAAGTTTAGTTTTTTGACATATTCACCCATTAGAATGCAAGTGGTGTTGTGTCGTGTTTATATGAAAGCTGAATTACTGATATGAGATGCAACAAATTTCTGCAGCATGTATTTGAGTATTTCACCGAAAGAACACCTAGATCTCATTTTGAAATGCGTGAAACTTCTCTTGTTTGGAACTACAAGTATTCGGGTAAGTACTGAATCATTTAACTCTTTTTTTCTTGTTCTGGACCATTTTCCGTGCGATCATGTCTGCTTACCTTGTGATTGTTTCCTTGATGGTTTAACTTTCAGATGTTGAGTTTGGAAGGTTGCAGGCTAGAGATATGCTACAGCATCTCTGGACAGGCCCAATATCTAATTCATCTGTAGATATTGTTCAAGGAGAACATACTGTTGAGGTTCGAGCCGTTGGTGTTACCAAGGTGACGTCATCTCCACCCCCTAAAAATGATATTTTGTCTTTTTCAATTGCATCTAGCATTGCTCAATTGGTTGGCAGAGGGTTTACAAGATTTAATTCCGGATGATATCAACTTTACTAAGGAATGGCATCTTTATATTAGTACAGAACTCATACTCTACCAACTAGATTGTGGTTATAATTCAATTAAACTAACAATAAACTATGGGATTAGTTTTGATTCTATAATGGCCCTTGACACAAATTGTGATTGATTGTGCCACAGGGAGCAGCAATTGATCGTATACTCGGGGAGATAGTTCACAGTGAAGGCATCACCATTCCAATTGATTATGTTCTCTGCATGGGGCATTTTATTGGAAAGGTAATTTGAATTCTTCTTTTTTACTTTTCCATAATTATTTATGTGTCTTTTCATTTCTTTGGAACTAACTAGGCAGGCTGACTGTGGCTTGCTTTCTGTTACTTCACAGGATGAGGATGTGTACCGGTTTTTTGAGCCAGACCTTCCTTGTGATGCCATGGGAGTTCCAAGAACCAAGTTAGGTGATGCAATGAAGGCAGGAGCAGAACGGAGGGGAGCGCCAAAGAATTCATCAAACAGGACTACTAAGTCAGCGTCGATCTCTGAAAAAGCAACACAAAACCACCACCACCCATCAGGGGATGGACGACGACAGCCCCCCGAAAATGCTTCATGGAATGTGTTGGATCTCAAGAAGGAGAATTACTTCTCATGTGCAGTTGGCCGGACTCGTACAGATGCTCGATATCGCATGAAGACCTCAGGTGATGTCGTGAAATTTATAACTGACCTGGCTGCAGCATCAGTCCCGCCAACACCGCTCTGATTCTATATTAAGGGATGATTTATTCAAAGCTTCTGAATCTCATCCTCCTCTTCCTCAGCGTTATCAACCATCAAATCTCTCTAGGGTGTTTGCTTTGTGAAGTTTAGTTTTAAGACTTGACAACGATGTTTGAACATATTTTCTAGAATTAATGGAGTGAAATGTTTCATTATTTCCCATGTTTGTGCTGTGTGTTTATATGTTTGTGCTTGCTGCCGTTTTGTGCCAATATATGATAAGCCTTCCATTGAATGAAGTTGTGCGCGCACTTCGAAATGGCATCATAATAGTGCAAATTAAGCTGTGCGCGCACTGCGAATTCTAGCTTCTGAGAATCTAGTTTGTTCCTTTTTATGCACAGGCATCATGAAACTTTCTTAGCCTTTTGGAATCTAATAACTTTTCTTAACCTTAAAGATGCATATGAAATTTATGCGGACAAGAATCCTAAGAGCTTATCATGGGTTAACACCATGGTGTACATCATAGTGTAAGCTATTAGTATTTGTGATTTCTGGCTGAAAACTTGCCTATTTTATCATTAATTCTTCATGTAAACTATGAAAACTACATCTTTCCACTGTACCCAACGACAAAATAGTATGAATGCACATTTTATTTAGCTAGTGTCCATTCCTATAACTTAGTCGATTATATTTTTTTTAAATAATAATCAAATCAAGTTGCTGTTCTCCTTTATCACAATTGTTAGTGATGAAGAGTGCTTATGGAAGTGTAATGTTATACATTGGGCAAAAAGAATTGGAGATGCAATATTACATGAACCATATAGTTGCTCAGTGCCGACAGAATGTGTATACTGCACTGCATACCAGAAGATGGCTAAGAGATGCCAAATGATGGAGCAGGAGATTCAGAACCTTTCCAAGGACAAGCAGGAGCTACAAGACAAGTTTGCTGAGAAATCCAGGTTAGTTTATGAAAAAACCTGGTCACTATTCTCGATGTTTCAAATATGTCTAATGACTGTTTTTACCTTAAAAATGTTATGTAATATATGGTACTTGATAGGATGCCAGATATCATATCTTTTCATACCTACTAGGCAAAAAAGAAAACTTGATGAAGTGTATGATCAGTTGAGAAACGAATGTGAATCAGTAAACCGTTCAGCTGTTTAACCAGCCAACAATTTCTTCCAAGAACCGAGCCCGATTTGTTCTCTAACACTGCTAGTATGATGGATAATAGAGACCCTCTTAAAAAGGTAACCCTGTTTTTAATTATATAACTCATTAATGAAGAGTATTCTAGTTGGCCAGGAGAATGTAATCTGTTTTACGATTATCATGAATCATTGGATGAACATGTTGCTTGTATTGTGTTCAAATTTGAGCACTAGTTGGAGTGTTTAGTTAAATGTTATGACTAGCGTGAATCATTTAATGAAAAGGTTGAGTGTGCATTTTTTATTTGTTTTTTTTTTCAAATTTATGTAACAGTTGTAGCATTTATGAGAAAAAATAGTTGATGTGATCGGTGTAATAAGTTAATGATTATAATAGCCTGAATCTTTTAAAGAACCGGTTGCCGCTATATTTTTTCTGAAATTTGAGTAGGAGTTGTAGCATTTATGCAAAAATATTAGTTGATGACTTATTGCAGATTGGTTGGTTGTCACTCCTAAAACTCCAGGGCCAAGAGAAGATATGTGGCATCCCACAAGACAGACCAATTCTAACTCTGGACATTTTGATATGTCTAACGCTTCACCTATAAAGCAATCCGTACTTCAAATGGATGCTGCTGGGAACAAGAGAATGGGCAGTACGCGTCCTGCTTTCAGCCTTGGAACGGGAGCTGGTGCTGGAAACCCCTCAATGACGATCAGGAACCTCATCCTCTCACCCATTAAGAGGCCTCAGCTTTCTCGTGGCCAGCCCCCAATGTTCACGTAAGCCCCTCAAATGTACCTGTCCCTTTTTACTTCTGGACTTTCTGATTTCTCACACCCTCTTTGCTTTTTCCAAATTTAAAAAGTACTTTTATTTTTATTGTAAAAAATTATGTTTAAAATTTTTTCCAAATATATTCTTTGTAACGACTCCATTGCCCTTGCTCCGCCCTGTATATAGGGGCACTTCCTTCATCTTTTATACGTAGTATAATGTTTTGGGAAAACAACGTACTGCATGCTATGAACAATGCGGTCATTGGATAAAGAGGATGCTTTATGATGACAAAAAAGCTCTTTGTACACACAAAAGTGTACACACTTGTACACACTATAAAAAGAGGAAAAAGTTATTCTTTTTTTACTCTTTCCCCTTCCCTCTCATCTGCGCTCTTCCGTTTTCCTGCTTACTCCCTCAGTCTCATTCCCCTTTCAAGAACTCTCCCATTCCAATTCTCCATTGACACTTTCCAATTATGATGGGTCCGTAATCTTCTTTTTTTCCCTACGCCCGTAATCTTCTTTTTTCTCTCAAGTTTCCTTTCAACTGTGACAATGGGTCATGTTTATCGCAATACAATGATTGTTAGGGTAATCATTTACACCTTTTTACGTTTATATGGAGTTTGGTTTTTTAATTGTTAGTAAGTTATATATGCTATGATGTTGAACTCTTGACTACTTTATTTCATTGATATAGGTTTATAGTGTAAACCATTGAAATTTTAGCCCTATGGTGTTCCCCCTTTATATGCCCATTACATGTTTGTTAAAATGTTTGAATGAAGGTTTTCACATCTAAGATGTTTCTGTTCTTTCAACTTTGCTATTAATGTGATTTTATGAGATTTGAGATAAAGAGGGAGACTACTGAAAAGTAGAAGGTTGGAACTATTGTCCATAAATTTATTTTCCTTATGTAAAACAATTATGTTGTGGAGTATTATTCAAAACATTTTGTGTGTCCTTGTGTTTATTTATATTGTTTGTGCATGATTAAAACATTGTCTTTGTGTTCATTTATTGTCGGTGTGTAGAAAATAATGGTCTGTGTGTTCGTTTATATTGTCTGTGGTTATATTTTCCATGCTAATTAGTTATAAGTAATTTGCATTGAACCTAATTACGTAGTATTAGATTTGGAGAAAATGTATGGGTTTTATAGAAGTGTAGAAAATTTTGTAATACCATTTCTTACGTTTGATCAAGCATTGACAATATAAAATGGTACATAAACGATTCATAACCACGCCAAAGTGTCAAGCAATGGTTCAATCAAGCACTGACAAAATAAACAAACACAGAAACAATGCTTCAACAATGTTTAATGAAATATTAACAGAAACTCAAGCCATAATAGATTTTAAGTACACCTTACTATACAAGTAAGTTAAAATCATCACCGAGTACGTAAACTACAAAAATTACATCCACCCATCATACTGCTATACTAATATACTTATAAACTACTGCTTGTGTAAATTACATAAACTAATTGGATACTTGTCAATTGTCATTAAACAAATCCAGATTCTGCTTCATCTACTTTGTCTTTGCCTTTAGTTGTAAGATTGGGGCAGCAGCAGCAACAAAAAATCCACACTCCTCTGTTATACGCTTCAACATCTTTGTATTTGTCTTTGCATTTGACTGTAGAGTGGGGGAGAAGCAGCAACACACCTAAGTATGGGAGCAGCAGCAACAGTGACAGGTTGATATTTCGTGTTCCACTGATAAAGAATCTGATCAGTTTCTATAACACCGTTTGACTCTACATATGGTTGTCGATAATTAACGTGCCTCAAATCCTAGTAAGGGTAAAAAAAATCTTTTAATATAACTTATTGATTCTTAAAAATTCAGAAGAAAAGCTCAGTTCTAATGGGTTTAAATTCATGTAAACCTTTGCTCCAACACTAACTGTAAGATCAAGATACACATTTTTGCTGGAATATGCCTTATTACACTATAAGTCTATAACTACAACAAAATAAAACAACTATAACTAAAATTGCAACTTCAAGAAACATTAACTAAAACTTCTATCAAACATTTAAGCAAACATGTCATGTGCATAACTAAGAAATAGAACAATTTGCCTGAAATTTCAAGAATTATTATCACCTACCCATAACAATGAAACAAAATAATCAAACATTCAACACCATAATAAAATAATTGAATTCAACATAACAAGATACATAAAATCTGAAAACGGAAAATAAATATAATCGTAAAAGCAAAAAGAAAACTGAAATAAATCAATACCTCAACATTCAAAGCTTTGAGATTAAAAAAGATTGCACTATGTATGAAGAAAAAAATCCCGTAATTTTTTAAAGGAGTTGAGCTTTGATGGTGTTGGTGGCTGAAAGGGCCGACTTTGTGCTGACCTAGGCCATCGAGTCATTTTCTTGAGAAAATATATAAGAATCTATGGAAGAAAGAAGATCGAGATGAGTTCTGTATAATTAAAACTTTAATATAATTATGGAGGGATTGCAGAACAAAGAAATGAAAACGATTGAAAGAAGTTAAGAAATGGCGAAAGAAAAGGAGAAGAGGCGAGAGACATATACGCCGGAGAAAGGGAGAGGGGTTGAGTTGGAGAGGAGAGGTTGAGAAGAGAAAGGTAAAAGAAAGAAGGTAAAAAATAAAATCTTTTATAATGTGTACTAACGTGTACAAAAGTGTGTACATGAAGCAAATTTCGAAAAAGATAGTCAGTTGCACCGGCCCATGTGCGCCCCAGCTTCATCATAAGAAATTTGCTTCATGTACACACTTTTGTACACGTTAGTACACACTATAAAAGATTTTATTTTTTACCTTCTTTCTTTTACCTTTCTCTTCTCAACCTCTCCTCTCCAACTCAACCATCGAGGCCATTTTCTTGAGCCTTTCTTTTACCGACTTTGTGCTGACCTAGGCCATCGAGTCATTTTCTTGAGAAAATATATAAGAATCTATGGAAGAAAGAAGATCGAGATGAGTTCTGTATAATTAAAACTTTAATATAATTATGGAGGGATTGCAGAACAAAGAAAAGAAAACGATTGAAAGAAGTTAAGAAATGGCGAAAGAAAAGGAGAAGAGGCGAGAGACATATACGCCGGAGAAAAGGAGAGGGATTGAGTTGGAGAGGAGAGGTTGAGAAGAGAAAGGTAAAAGAAAGAAGGTAAAAAATAAAATCTCTTATACTGTGTACTAACGTGTACAAAAGTGTGTACATGAAGCAAATTTCATCTTTTTCAGATTAGTCTCAAAGACCTGACCAATATCATTCTGGTCTATGACCGGATGGCACTATTCCAGAATGACTAAACCGGACCCGAGCTGTACATCTTAAATACAGATATCTTTTT